GTCGCTTTTAGGCAGATTCAAAATCATCCTTTGAGCGCCAAAAACTTTGTATCCTTTTAGGTGAGCCATTTTTTCCAACAGACGGGACTTGTAGCTTTGATTGGTGGCTCATTGTATAGTACAAGGTTGCTAGATGGGATTGTTTATTGGTTTATTAATGTGTTGGGTGGAATTTAAATGCTTGCGGACAGATTCTCTCAGGACATAACCTGATAGATTCTATAACACATGTTCCATTCTTTGACACATGTTCCATTCTTTCTATAACATATGTTTCTTATAACACATGTTCTATTGTTTCTATAACACATATTTTCCTCACTTTTGGTATTAAGTTGACAGCTAACTAAATATTTGTATATGTTTATGTCCAGTTTGAGTGGACCTTTATATCTAAATTCCCTATATGTTCCATTGCAGCAAAGAACAAGGCAATAAAAATTCAATACACAGGCAATACAACAGCAATAACAAATAATAAACAGGCAATACACAGGCAAAATAACAAATAATAAATAGGTAATACACAGGCAAAATAACAAATAATAAATAGGTAATACACAGGCAAAATAACAAATAATAAAGACAATACACATTCAAAATAACGGCAATAACAAGTAATAAACAGGCAATATACGAGCAACATACCAACAACGCACATGGGCAACATACCAACAATGCACATGCAATACAAAGGCAATAAAATTGAAAAATAAAAAGAAAAAAAATACGAAAATAATAAAATAGTACAATAATAAGGCAATAACTACACACTACGGAAGCAGATCAAGGCAATAGGCACTAGATATATCAGCAATAAAATTACAATGGGGCAATATGCAAGCAATACACAAGTTGTACAGGGATATGGATATGGTTTTATGAATAGTGGTAAGTTGCAGGAAAGATGACAGTAGCAGTCTCACAACACAACTTCGTATATATAAGTTTTTACTTCCAAATGCGAATGGACTACCATTCATCATGCCCAGAAATACAGAGAAGTTCATCAAATAAAAATTTAATGATTACCCCAGATATGACAGCCTGAGAAACTCCAATTCTATCTACAACTCCAGTTCTTATATTATCTTCCTAGGACAGAGAATCTCTCTTTGTGCAGCTGTTGTTGGATCACATCTGACCCCACAGTATTATACCGCTTTGTGAAGAAAAAAATAATAATTCCAAGAATTATTAGGCTTTTATCATTTCTCGTTTTATTTCAAGTCAAGAGGTCACATGACTCAACCGCTAAGACTTTTTCTATTGATTTTTCTTTTTCTTTTTCCCTCTTTCTTTTGTGTCTAGAAGTAGAATCATTTTGAGTTCTTGTCCAATATTTCATTCCAATTGTCGCCTCTTTCTTTCTCTATCTCTCAAATACACTCTCTCTCTCAAATACAAACAAGGAGAGGAAAAAAGAAAGAAGAAAACCTACAACTCAAAGCATACAACAACGAACACATAACAAAGAGAAAACCAGCAGCAGCAGAAGGAATTTCGGAATATATAAAAGAGAAAAAGAAAAAAAACAAAATGGAAAGCCTTCTATTTAGTACTGCCAGCAGCAGATTCTGGACCACCTTCTCTTCTAGTAAGATCATCTTGTTTCATCTGGGACTGGTTGTGATTAGAATCTTCATCATGAACATCATGATGAGCCTGAGCTTGAGCCTTTGGAATATTATGAGCACTGGAAAATAAATCCACAGGCTCAGAATCAGCAATTTTGCCTCCTTCAAGAGGCGTCCCATGCTTGTACGCAACCCTCACAGCTTCGTCCTCGTTCAGCCTCGCTTGTGAAGTCCCATACTTTATGTCATCTTTGCTCTTTGCCATTTTCACTTGCATCAGCTAGCCCTGTGTCTAGGGTGTTTGACCTGCTTTCGGTTCATTTATAAGCTCTGCTTTGAATCACTACGTGGCAGATTGGCTTAACATGGGAGTGACAAGTGTATAGTTAAACTTGGCACGTGTCTTGTTTTGCTGTATAACATGAATTTATTCTGCCTTTCCATCTGTGAAACTCTCTTCTCTCTTGATGAATGGCCAAGATCAATTCTTACTGTCCCTAAGTTGATAATAGTGATGGTTAGGATCAATTATAGCCTCCACAAGTTTGTGTACGTTGCTGTATGTCGTGTGCTTTAGGTGCCACAATGGCTTATTAAAATTGATGCTTGGTCATGAAAATCTTTTTGTTTTTAACTTTGAGAAAATTACATTTTTGTCAATAACTAAGTTTCGACTTAACAATCATTCACAATGGTAGAAATAAGCGTCATTGTGCCAATCCAAGGAGTTAACAAATAAATTGTGTTCGATACACAGATGACATGGCAAACTAACATTAGCATTCTCCAATAAGAAGACTCCTCTTCTTTCCCACCCTTCCTGGATTGAGAAAGAAAGAAGAGAGACAAAACACACACTACAAAGTTTAGGTGACATTACAAACCTACAAAATATCCTCATCAAACTTATAATGCTCCTTTCTTTTCTTTCTTTAAAGCAAAACTTCATTCAAACTGAGAAAACCACGCGCTCTCGATAATCACTCGGGAATTATTTGCTCATTATCTGCATCGCCTTCCGTCTCAACTTGAGGCTTCGAAGGAGCTTTGGCACCAGGAGGCTGCTTCTTCTTGATCCCACTCACAATGTCATCGATTCTGAGAAGTAGGCAAGCAGCTTCTATGGCAGTTTTAAAAGTCTGGGCCTTCACGTTATAGGCATCCCATATCTGACACCATAATTCTAGAAATTAGCAGCCTTACGGACATAAGAAATTTCAGATTCAAGACTCCATGGATGCTCAATTATGAACAATGGCGTTCACTTTAGTAGTAACTAAAACAACAGCACTTCCCCTCACACGAGTGCTGTCCAACTATGTTGGGAGAAGCTCTAAACTAGAACTACTACTGAAGCAATCGACAATATCAACCAGAATATTGACGCTTTATTTATGCTAAATCAAAACTATGTGGGAAAATATGCTATTGATATAATGGGACACATCAATAATATCGACACCATATCAAGATGATTTCCATATAATGGATACATTCGAGTACAATACTACAGAAAAGTGTCCTATTTGAGAGCTTTTCACAAAATATCAATCGGCCAACAAACTTGAATATTGAGATAGTGAAGGAAATAAAAGAGAGCAAACACTAGTAAGCCAAAAAGATATCCACCTACCTTTTTCTCTTTCACATCAGTTATTGCACCAGTGTTACCATCAATGCCAATCCATGCATTTTCACCATTTGCATGCTATCAAAAAATAATTGTGGTTAGGATATAAATGATGCATCAGATTCTGACCCAAAAAAAAATGATGCAGCAGAACGTACATAGAAATGACAAGTCATAGTAAAGCAGAACAAAGCCATACAGAAAAGATTCAAACCTTTCCCTGCAATGCTGTCATTGTTCTAATCACATTCACCCCGCAATTCTGAGCCAAAGTACGTGGTATAGCCTCAAAAGCTATAGCAGCAGCTTCATATGGCCACTGTTTTACCATCAAAACACGTGTAGCCATAAAACTCCATTAAAAAGCATGTAAAGTGAAGCCACAGCTAATTCTTAATCTTAAGTATGTCAAAGAGCATGTGAAGTGAAGTGACAGCCTTTTATTCATAGAATTTAGATTTCTACTTCCACAAGGAATTATTCTTGGACCAAATTTACACAAGAAATACCAAACTTTTGGATAAGGAAGGAGCTTTTACCTTTTCTATACCTTCTACAGATGAACTCTTTTGCTTCAATGTAGCAGATACAGTTAACTCTGTAGCACCACCACCAGGAACAAGTTTCGGATTCTTGAGGATGTTTCTTGCTACAGACATAGCATCCTATGAACAGATTTAAGGGAGTAAATAACAAATTTCAGCATACCATATTTATTCTAAGTAATGGGGACAGAAAAGTAAAACCACTATACCTGCAAATTCCTTTCCACTTCATTTAAGAGATCCTTACTAGGACCTCTCAAGAGTACAGTACATGCTTTGGGCTCTTTGCAATCAACAATGAATGCAAAAAACTCATCACCAATTTTCTTAACCTCAAATAGCCCAGCGCCAGTACCAACATCAGACTCTTGCAATTCATCTGGTCTGTTAACGATTACAGCTCCACAAGCCTTGGCAATTCGGTTATTATCTGTTTTCCGCAACCTCCTGATTGCACTGACACCGGCCTTGCTAAAATAATGGCATGCCAAGTCACTAAGCCCCTTTTCTGTGATAACCACATCTGGTTTAAACTTCAATATTTGCACGCATAGGCTCTCGATGTATTCTTCTTCCAATTTTAGCAGGACTGCCCAATCTTCTTCTTTAAGCAACTCAGCATTTGTTTGGTTCTCGCCTTTCTTATATTCAAGAGGACAATCAAGAAGAATGATGCATGGGTTGACAATCTTTAAGAGGACAATCAAGAAGAATGATGCGTGGGTTGACAATCTTTCTTCTCATTTTTCCAGGTGCAATAACATCTTTGTTAATCATAACTCCTTTGAGAACCACTGAATCTTCCAACTGGCCACCAGGAACCTTCTCAACCTTTATGTACTTTTTAATATCCACTTCCCGCAGACCCTGGCCAAGGTCCACCCCTACTATTGTGGTAGCATCAAGTGCTAAATCCTAAAAGAAAACCCAACACATACTTAGCATACCAATATACGGTCAGATCTGAGAGAGACAAAGTGTTCAAACTTCCTGATTTTTAGGTTCACAGTGATTGTCACTACATACAGGGACATGAATTCAAGTTTGGAAGTTTTTATTTAATTGAAGAGTTTGCCGGTTTACTTTTACTCTGAAGACCAGTTTAATTGATTTTTTTCAAGTTGATTCTCAGTGCCAAGGCCGCTCAAGCAAGTGCAAGACATACTATAAAAGACAAAATGTTTGAAACTATGAAATCAATGCCGGAGCTTTCCACCTAGAAGAGGATGCAAAGTCATTCTCATACAGAATAAACTTGCATGCATGAGTGTCATTAACTTGAATGCTCTTAAGAAATCTTGGAAACATAAAAGACAAAGTAATGTTTATCTTATTTGTATAATAAAAAAGAAAAACAAATAGAAATGCTGGAAGGCAAGAATTCAAATTAGAAAATCCATGGTTAAAGCTCATTTTGTGGTTCAAGTGTTTCACGTTTTGGGCAATATTGAGCATTTTCCTTTAAAAAGTTTGTCAGTATGTCCTTCATAGGCCACTTTACAGTCTACATAGATGAAGAATCATAATACTCATAAACCTTTAAACAAGAGGAAAGACCTACATGTAAAACCTTTATTTAGACAAGCACTTACAGCAATTAAATCCCCAAATTGACTAGTGAACTTTGTACCGATACAACTTTTGACCAGCCCCAACATTGTTGCACCTGCCACGTAAAGCATACATAAGTTATATTCCAGTACTGCAAACTGGACATTTTAAAAACTCATTACCCAAGGCAAATTATTAGTACGAGTAGTATATTCAAATCAATGACAGGTTTCCAACGATTAGCAATGGATGTTATCATCAATAACAGCCGGCACTGAAAGTATTATTCTGGATGAAGCTACAATTGCAAATGAGTAGAGGTTACAACTACAATTGCAAATGGGCATACAACTACGCACATTCCAAATTCAATACATATGAAGCTAACATTACAGAAATGTAACAGAGGTTACAGCTACAATTGCAAATGGGCATAGAACTATGTGTGTCAAACTTGGCTTTTTCCCTTCTGGTGCTTTAAATTTGAAAGTCTATTCCCCATTTTCTACTAAGAAAAATCTAAGGCTGCAACATCAAACCCAAAATGGATCTTATTGAGCACAAGGAATAGTACCCCTGAATTTATTTATATATACTGATGCATGACATTACATTCTCACATAAGTAGATTAACTACGAGCTTGAGACCTATAGTCTGGGCACCAAATACAAATACAACGTAGATAGAGAATTTGATTATGAGTGGACAAGAAACTAGAGGAACTTACGATCCTTCACATCAATGGTCATTGCTATTTTGTCAAGAACCGCAATAGCATCCTCCAGAGCTTTGTTGTATGCTACAACCAAAAAACAGAAAATTAAAATAAATAAAAAAAGACAAAAACAATACAGAAAAATAAGTCACACATCAAAATCAAATCCAAAACTATAACTGAAAGAAAAATCAGAAAGGAATATGTTATCATAATTTCTATCAACTTACCTCGGCAAATGACAGTAGGATGATAATGCTTGTCAATAAATGCTTCTGCAACATGGAGCATCTCACCAGCTACACCAAAATTTCATTCCAAATGTAAGACATGGAACAAACTTTATATACATATAATAATGCTTTAACATATCCAGTAGATAGAAAGATGCATAATCACCTTCCTCCAGCATACTAAATCCTGTGATATATATTAATTATTTTGCAAGTTAAACCTATTTCTGTATATCATCAACTTATTTATCAAGCAATATTTTTTCCTTCGCCAGATAGATTTAACAACTATTTACCAAGTCTAAAATAAAAATCTCAATAGAAACCAAGTCTAAAATAAAAATCTCAATAGAAACGAGATTGAACAAGAATATACACCAATAAGTAATAAACATATTACTATAGCCCATAAATGAACAGTGAGTTGTTTATAAATAAATAAAGCTCAAACCATACCAAGGACAATGACAGATGTAGTTCCATCACCTACTTCTTCATCTTGTGTGCGACTTAGTTCAATCATTGACTATCATCACAAATTTTAAATGAGAAAAGGTAAGAATAACAAGAAAATTAAAATGAGGAGGGGGGTCACATACAAAAGTAAGGCGTCATGGAGAAAATTTTATGGTAAAACACGGGGAAAAGAAGCAGAAATAACGGAGAGTAATTTTTGCATTGAAAACAAAATTAGATCCAGAAAGGAGCATTTTGAGACAAATATCATGCCTTTGCTGCTGGGTGTGCAATATCTAATTCACGCAGAATGGCATTTCCATCATTAGTCACCACAATTCCTGTTAGCAATGAGGGAAACAACTTTGTTAGCGTATTGCAAACTCATCAAGAACCAGACACAAGCCATAGACCCATGAAATAGATACATGAGGCAACCAGTAACATTAATTTTACTTAATTGAAAATAGAACCACGCTATAAAAACAGTAAAATAACTTATGGATACAAGGTAATGCAATTGCAGCAACAAACATACTGCCACCTACAACAAGGGCTTATTTGGGTCCTAAAATTTGTATACTGCAGACAAAAGGATTACCTCCACCAGCATCAAGTAGCATCTTGAGCATCGATCGAGGACCCAAAGTTGTACGGATTATGTCAGCAACAGCCTGTCATTATCAAAATGCTTAACATTTTCATGGTCATGAGACCCAAAATACTAATAATCTGAAAAAGTAACATTTTTATGCTTAACATTTTTATGAAAAAGTAACCACAAGTGAAACACAAAAATATTTTCTCATAAAGAGCATCCACAACTGAGACGCTTAAATGCTTAGCATTTTTTCATGAGAAAATATTTAACATTTTCATAGTGAGAAGGCTAACACTCATGTTAACCCGTCCAGCAATTAAATTACATTGAAAACAAATATTAAAACACACATTTCAGATGAATTTCATATCAATTCAGTTTTAGGTATAAAATATGCAATTAAAACAGCCTCTTTTTCAGTAAGTCTTTCACCCGGTACTATGCTACATAGACCAAAACAAGGCTCAGACACTACGGCACATGTAAAATAACTCAAATTTAAAGAGTATTTCAAATTTATCTACTCCATTAACATTAGAAAACAAAACCCATTTACAAATTTATTGGATTCTCCAATAAATTTATCTCCAAGACTTAATCACCAAAAATATTATTTTCCCTCGAACGAACAAAACTACGGATTTACACTCTCACACAAAATCAAATGTTTGGATTCATAAAATGGAGTGCCCTTGATCATACCTTTGATGCCTGGATATTACCATGGTGCACCTTAGTCCCAGACTCACGCTTCAATGAATCTTCTGCTCAAATCAGGTGAAACAAGCAAGATCAGTGAAACTAAGCAAATGGGCTTTCAATGTAACTTAAATATAATCCTCAAAAGCAGCAAGCAACACAAAAACCTAAGCTTTTTCGCATATCCAGATAAAAGACAGATTCAAAACCTAAACTTTAAAGTAACTGCAACTTGAAAAGGGCAAAAAGAAGAAGAAAGGAAGCTTACTCAGGACGAGTACTGGGGCTTGCATGGTGATGTTGAGATCTGTTTGAAACTGTTGAGTGTGTGAGGAAGAGGGAAGACGAGTTCAGAACACTCGAGAGAGGTTTTTATGCGAGGGAAACGCCGAAAGGGAGTAAAAGGTTTATAATATTGACCCCTGTCTGCTCCGAACAAGTTCAAGTGGGCTCTAGTCTCTTCGAATTTTGGGCTGGGTCAGGCTGGCCCACGAAGAAAATTGTGGATCTTCGAAATTTAGAGGAGTGCATCTATATATATATATATATAAGCAGACGCAGAGAAGAAAATGCTTTTTTTTTTTCTTTTTTTCTTTTTTCTTATTATCGGTGAGGAGTGAAGGGGATGTCCTTTACGATTGAGTGAAAGGGATGCCCTTTTTTTTGCTTATTTCTTCTATGTTTTAAATAGGGTCATACTAAAATATCGAGAGAGGTGGGGAGTAATCGCCCTGATCAGGTGTACTCGAGATAGGTGGGGAGTAATTGCCCTAATCCGGACTTGTATTAAATAGGGTCATACTAAAATAGGTCCTTGTAACTCAAAAATTCTATATAATAATCCAACAATAATACAACATTTAAGTACACCCAATTTAAAAATTGGATGACAATGTGTCCAGACTTGTATTAAATAGGGTCATATTAAAATAGGTCTTTATAACTCAAAAATCCTATACGATAATCCAACAATAATACAACATTTAAGTACACCCAATTTAAAAATTGGATGACAATGTATCCATGTAAGTTGATTTATTTACAAATCATGCCACTAGATTTTTCTTTAATGGCTGACTTTTTTACATTCCCTAATTTTATGCAAATGAATAATACACACCTCTCAATGCATATTTATGTTTGCACTCCTATAATAATGGGCTACAATAAAATTAGTTCAAGTACTCCCTCCTAACCTCCTATAGCTCGGATAAATATTTTGTAGTGGCATGATTTGTAATTTTGTTAATAATACTAGGACAAATTTATCTCACATGGAAAAATACTCCCTCCTAAACTCCTACCCACAGATCTAGTGGCATGATTAAAATTGGGTACAACTTAAAAGCCCCATAAAATACATTGAATTGTAAATAGGGCTAATTTTGGAATCTAAAAATTACAATAAGTTTGAAGGGGGAAGCCAAATTTACTATATTAAGAATAAATATTAGGTGGCAGTGTTTTTCTCTCTCTTTTAATTCAAATATTACCCATCTTTCATTTGTCAAACACCATATGGATATAGATGTAAGTTTTTTCATATATTTTGTGAGTTTGACTTTTCATTATTATGAGGTGTCATATAAATAATAAATAGAGTTATTTTAAAATTAAGATATTATGATATTTTTATTCAGATAATGACTAAATGGAATAACTGTTGCAGGAGGTGTATATTGATAAACACATAATTATTACAACTTCTATCCCTAATCTATATTTGTTAGTATTTTGTTTTATTGATTTTTGCACCAATTAGAATGTTCCATTGCATTTTACGAATCCATTTGCACTTCATTGAAATATAGGCTAATTCGTTTGAATTCTCTATTTGGTTATCTCTCTTTGAAGTGGCACCCAAACTATTATCAATTGGGCAATAATTGTTACATTCTATTCTAATATCATGATTTTATATAGGTGCATGTTGGAGCTATTAAGGAGAAAGAATGTGCATGCATGTGAAGCAAAAAGAAAAGAAAGAAAAGAAATTAAGCCAATTCCAGTCCATTTCCGGAAGTCAACTTGTAAGGCCCAAAACGTACACTTGTACTGCTCCGATGGGAATACATTCTTCATAAAAGTTGTTCCAATGGGTGTCTATTATGACATATCCAAATTTGAGCCCCATTGGACACATATTGAAACCTCAGGCCTTCCTACACCAAGCCTAGTTCAGAAGAATCATTTTTTTCAGCAACCAAAAGAAAACCTACATGGGTTGGCAGCAAAAGGCAGCCATAATTGAACACCTTTGAAAACCCATGTGAAGAAAGCTTAAGGTGCAGCAGCTAAAGAATTGAAAAGAATGCATGAAGTGTCACACCCATGCCAAAATAAGAAAGGAAAAGAAGTATGGGATGGAAGCAAACAAAAAAGAATTGATTCCAACCACACTAACTTAGACAAGATGAAGTGGGAGTTATGGATTGTATTGGAATAGGAATGGTGGTGTTGGAATTCATCATGATGCTCCTCCTTCTTAGCCCTATAAATAGAGAAGTCTTCAAGCTTCAAGACACACACCAAGCTCACAATCTTCTCTTGAGCTCTCTCTTGTTCCTCCAATTCTTCTAGTTTTAATTTGTTTTACTTTTATTTTATGGGAAACTAACTCCCTAGCCTCAGCTAGGGAGAAAGCTTTTAATATGAGTGTGTAATTTTTATTAGTTTGATCCAAACTTAAGCTTTAATGTGAATTTGTAGTTTTTGTTCAAATGGAATTTGTAGTTTTCTTTTTAATTAATTGATGAATGTTTGATAATCTATTTCATGGGTTCAATCATGTTTTTCCCATTGTGTAGTAAAAACTTTCATTCTTTTAAAAGAGATGAGAATTACTTAGATTAATTAATAGAATTTTGATGAAGATTATTTTTTGATAGTTTGTTGCCAATGGTACAAGTTATGCTTAGAATACTTCTAAAGGAAATTAAAAAGAGCTTTAATTATTTTGAACAACTACATTGGAAAATATTTTGTGGATCAAATTAATAAGAGTTGCATGCTTATGTTAAAAGTGGCACCCCAATGCCTTAGTATTTTAATCAATTAAATTTTCTCTAAATCAAATCTTGCATAAATCTACCTCTTAATCACACTTGTTCTTTTTCATCTCTGTTATTTTATTTACACTGCTCTCTGTGGATACGACACTCAGACTTCCGAGCTACACTACTATACGATACCTTCCCGCATCTTTTGCAATGTGTATTAACAGATATCATCCATTATCTCCACGTTTTGGCTAGCAGTTGTCTCTTAATAGGAGAGTGTTGTAAAGAAACTTATATAAAAGGCTTGGTCACTGCTCTCATATTCATACATTCATATTATGTATGCTTGTCCTATTGTAAGCCTTGACATTCGGGAATACTGAGAGGAGAAGATCGTCTTGTGAATTTGATTATGGCTAATTCAAGCAAGTCTTATCTCTAATCATTCTTTTGTTCAATTGTCTTTCTGAGTTAAGATATGCTTTAAGTGCTCAATTGGTTTAGAAATATTTTGCATAGTAAACTCTTGCAATAGAAACCAAAGTCTTGTAACTCGATCGATGGGAGGAAATTTTTTCCTTCTTTCTTTGGAAATTGGATGGATAGATGAGACATGGATATATGGCCTAAGGGTTGTACAAGGAAAACTAAAAGGAAAGAAGTTAGAGTTTTCCAATGGATCATGTGAAAAGTACAACTATTTCGAGCCCTATAGCTAGTTTCTCCAATACATAGGGTACTTGTTTATAGGGTGAGAGAATCTGTTTAAAGGAAAAAAAACATGCGTTTTGATTCACAACTCTATAGCCTGTTAATGCATCTATCCTTGTCATAGAGGGTGAGAGAATCAAACATCCATGTGCTGATATGTATTTGGACCAGCTCTAGGGATGACAATTTTTCCCACGGGTAAGGGTCTTCGTGGGGATTCGATCTTAATGGGTTGGGTATGAAGGATAAAAAACGGATATGAGGACAGGCACGAGGAATTTTTTGGGTATAGTGTTCAGAGAGGAGCGAGGATGATATTTGAATCTCCGACCCGAACCTTCCCATTTAGAATATATATATATATGCTATTAAAGTGATTGTGCCGACTAAGTTTTATATTTCGTATTATTATATTATATATTTATATGAATCTTAAGCCATACTAATTATATATTTAGTTAACTTCCAGTCAATATTTAACATTCTTATATTGTCTTATACGTCGATATTATATAAATTCATTATCTTGTTCTAGTCCTATTTTTCTCTTCCAACAAAGTAGTTATATTGGTTTTTTATTCTATAATGGGGCGGGTCGGGGAACCCATTCCCCAACGAATGTGGGGATAGGGAATCCCCAATATTATTGCGGGTATGAAGGTAGGGATGAGGGAAAAAAGCTTAACGGGGATGGGGATGAGAATGGCATACCCACCCCATTCGACCCATTGTCAGCTCTCCCACTTATATGCTTAATTGTATACTTAAATTCCTCTTTTATTTTTTTTTATTGTTTTGGAATATTTTGGGTACGCCATTTTTTTGCTTATTTATACCTACCATGTGTGTTTTGAATTGAATTGAATTGAATCGCTCATCGCTGCATTAATTTATCAGACAGAAAAGCAAACAGAGCACTCAACATGATGAGATTTCAAGCGTTTATCGGCATTTTACTGGTCTTCCTCTCAGGCAAGTTATTTATGTATATAATGTCATTTTCATTCACTAATAAGGTAAAGTCTTATTCCCAAATGATGTGACTTTCTCTCGACCTCATTTATTTCCTGAACACATTTGGCGAATAAATTTAGAAAGTCTAGCATTATTATTGATCTTATTTGTGTGCCATGGCGTATAGGGGCTCACTCGGCAACATTCACATTCACAAACAATTGTCCTTACACAATTTGGCCAGGAACCCTAATCGGAGGCGGTGGCTCACAATTATCTTCCACCGGATTCGACACTACTACAAAAAGGGCAAAAGACGACCATAAAAAGACGACGGTAGAACAAAAAACCGTCGTTGTTTTTAAAAAGACGACGGTAGAACAAAAAACCGTCGTGGATAAGTGACTTAAACAACTAAAAAATGGAGATACTGTTGAGAATTTCTTTTATAACGACGCACACGAATAAAAAAGTGTCGTCTTATTAAAAAGCTTTTCTTTAGAGTTAAAATCTGACCAAAAAACAACGACAGCAGGTATGACAAGCGTCGTCTTTTAAAAATCAAGTGTCCTTTTTTTGGTAAAGACATGGTTGTATTGAAAGAACTGTCGTCTATTATATGTAAAGATGACGGTTTTTTTATAAAAAGGGTCGTCTATTATAAGTAAAGACGACGGTTTTTTTTATAAAAAGGGTCGTCTATTATAAGTAAAGACGAAGGTTTTTTAATAAAAAGGGTTGTCTATTATATGTAAAGACGACGGTTTTTTATAAAAAGGGTCGTCTATTATGAAGTAAAGACGACGTTTGAAAAACCTTTTACGTCGCTTTTTAAAAAACTATGACGTTGTTATGTGTGTACAACGTCATTTTAAAGAAATCATGGTTTAGAAATGCGCTCTTCGATAATCATCGACGGAAAACAAAAAAACCATCGTTAACAATATAAATAAACATGATGCTTATTACATCTATACCCTAAACCCTAAACCCTAAACCATAAAATATAAACCCTAAATTATATATATATGTTTAAATAAT